TCACCCAAGGCTTCCTGGTCTCCTTTTTCAAGGAGACCTTCTTTGCAGGCACCTTTTTCAAGGAGCCTTTCTTGGCAACTGCCTTTTTCAAGGCTGCAGCTGGCTTTTTCAAGACACCCAGTGCTGCCTTCAGGTCTTCATGCCTGGTAGGTTCAGCCTGGTGTTTGCTGCCTGGCCTTTTTTGTTTCCATAGCCTTGGTGGACTTGCTTTGCAGCTAGCCAGCATCTTGGGGAAGCCTGCAGAGTCGACAGAGACATCGCTTGCAGTGGACTTGAGCTTCCTGCTATTTGGGGAGGCAGCAACCATGGGCTGCCCATCTCCCCAAACAAGCCCCTTTTTCAAGGGGCTGCCCTGCTTCACCTTTTTCAAGGTGCCTTTGCTGCTAAGTCGCGTGACGGGAGATGACATTTCCTTCTGGGTTCTGGCTGGGTCACAACGGGTGGATGACTGCCTTGAGAGTGGATGGAGCAAAGTGAACTTGGACCGGGCCTGCCCGACCTTTACCACTTCGAGACCTGCCCTGAAGCCAGGGCGCAAACCTGCAGTCAGGAGCATGAGTTGGCGAGGTGGCAAGAAGATTTGCACCGTTTTCCTCCCTACCAGCACATGGACCGCCACGGGGTCGTCAACAAACAAGGAGTGGTACGGGTGCCCACAGTCGCAGAGCGAGACTTTCCTCTCGACTACACGTGTAACAAGAAGAAGTAAAGGTGAGCGCAAGAAGAGTGACTGTCGTGATGTCCGCCTCACCCTGCTTGGGAACACTTGGAGTGCGCCGGTGGTTGCGTGGTTGTTGAACCAGCTCCTGAATGAGCTCGGGATTGCTGTTCATCTTTCGCCGCAGGCAATCATTGCGCGTTGTGCGCCGGGGGCTGCCGAGTCAGTCCAAGGGCGCTTAGTGCGTCTCCCCTTGAAAAGTGAAGACATCCTATTGACCACCCCTACATCCCAGTTGGTGAAATTTCATCGTCTTCGTGCCTCGGTCCCGTCTAAACTTTGGAGGTGGCGAGTCGTTTCAGGTTGGAAGTGGACCACAGGGAAGGAACACATTAACTCCCTGGAGTTGAGGGCGATCCTGAATGCCCTGCGTTGGAGGCTGGAGCTCGCGGGTGCAGGATGTTGCACCTGACCGACTCCCTCGTTTGCTTGCGCGCGCTGACGAGGGGAAGAACCAGTTCAAGAAAGCTTCGAAGTTTAGCGCACTACTCTTGTGTACCAACTCCCAATGCCTGTGGGGATATGCGCATACAGATAGCAACCCTGCTGACAAGCCCAGTCGGTGGGGTACTCGGGTCCGCACTCGTTTCCGGAATGCCTAAGCGTGTACTCGAGGGAGTCACGCTGCAGGAGGAACGGGCCAAGATCCGTCATCGTTTGGGTACTTTGAAGCAATTGACAGAGGAGGCGCTATGATAAAGCAGTCGACCAGTTCCTGGCCTTTCTTCGCACTGAAGGCTTAGCCCTACCTACAGCAAAGTCCAAGCTTGACCCACTAATTTGTGACTACTTGGAGCACATATGGCGTCAAGGGTATGGCAGAGGCCTGGCCTACGATACCCTTGCAGGGTTGCAAGACCTTCAGCCCGGGTTGCGGTCGCAGATGCCGGCAGCCTGGAGGCTCCTGCGCACCTGGCAAACTAACGAGATCCCGTCCAGGGCTCCCCCACTTCCAGAGCACATCGTACATGCAATGTGCGGTTGGGCCTTTTTTCATGGATGGGCCTCATTCGGTGTTTCCTTGTTGATCGGGTTTTACAGCATGCTGAAAACGGGAGAGATTTTGGGGATCCTCTCATCCCACATCCAATGTGGAACCGGATCCTTGCAAGCGTTGATAAAGCTCGGTTTGACAAAGGGCGGCAAACGGCATGGTGCTGCCGAAAGTGTCGTTTTGGGTTTTGAGCCGGTGGTCAAAGTGGTTCGTTCGTGGAAGAAAGCCTGTTCGCCTTCGACACCTTTAACACCCTCACCCGCACGTTGCCGATCTTCAACCAATGTTTGAGTGAGCTGAACATAGGGGAACCCGGCTTTAGACCCTACTCTTTACGTAGAGGGGGGGCCACGTTCTGGTTTCAGAAACACCAGAACCTCGACCGAATTTTAATCCAGGGTCGGTGGCATACCCAAAAAAGTGCAAGAATCTACCTTAACGAAGGATTGGCAGTGCTGAGCCAGATGAAACTCCCGGCTACGGATGCACATTTAAAGCCTTTCCTGACCGTTTTCGAAACTTCCTGATACATCCCACTATTTCCACACTTGAGCCAAAGGCGGAAGGACTGGGGTCCGTGGAAAGAACACTCGTTCCGGCAGGTGAAAATGGTCACATTTTTTGTTTCCTTTTTGTGGCAGGGGTCTGTGTCCCACTCTTCCCTAATCTAGGAGGCATGGCTTGACCAGAGGTTGAGTGGGCTAGGCGAATCCCCTACCCAGGGTGTGGCCGGGTAGGTAGGACCGACCTACCTGAGGGCTGGAGGTCCCAGGTCAGACCTAGCTAGCCACTTCTATCCTATCTGTTTTAGTTATTTTGACAAATATGCAGCGAAGTGAAAAACAAGAGAGTGCTCTTGACATCTTTGTATCTGCGGCCCCGCGGGTTAAGATGTCTAGCATGTCCCTTGTTTTTCCTGCAGTGTTGGCTTAAGCACCCCCCTCTGCCACCCGAAAGAACACTCGTTCCGGCAGGGGAAAACCCCTACCCAGGGTTTGGCCGGGTAGGTAGGATCGACCTACCTGAGGGCTGGAGGTCCCAGGTCAGACCTAGCTAGCCACTTCTATCCTATCTGTTTTTAGTTATTTTGACAAATATGCTGCGAAGTGAAAAACAAGAGAGTGCTTTTGACATCTTTATATATATAAATATATAAGTATATATACATATAGCCAGCTAGTGGAAGCTGTCCCGGCAACCAGTCCTGTGAAATGTGTTTTAGTGCGATGCTGTGCTATTTGACATTCCTGATTCGACATGTCTACAGCAATGATTCCAGGAGGCCCTCGCCGGGAGGTAGTTGACACTGACATGTTCAATCTCCCACCTGGTGTTGGTGCTTTATAGCTCATTGAGCAAGGCTATGCCCATGTCTTTGGCTCCACAGTCCTCCTCGTGCAGACAGGGCTCTTCTTGGTCTTGGGCTGCTTCATCAGCCGCCTGAAATGCCACTTGATTAAAGACTCCAGAAAAGCTTGTGCAACAAACTGCCATGGTGTTTGCGATGTCAGCTTTCGTTTTGTAATGATCGCGGTTGACAAGGGTGAGGAATATGCCCAAGATGATGGTCTCATGCTCATACACACACCATACATCTAGTTTACTCACTAACATGATGAATATAGGCAAAAACACTACATACACACACACATATATATATATATTTACACTATGCACATTATAGGAGGAATCTGGTAGTTAGAACTGGGCGCATTCGTGGGTTCAATGGATTCTTTGCACCTTGAGGCATCGGTGTGCCCTTTTTGTTGCTCTTTGTGGCCGTGGCTGTTACCCCAAAACCACTGGCGATGCTACTGGGCCAACTCTCGCGCTGGAGGCTCCTGAGGCAGGTCTTTGAGTTTATAATGTTCATATTAGGAGGGAGCTTGCGAGCTTGGAACACATCGAGTTCGCATGAGTTCTTTAAGCCTTAAGCACTTGCCAGTCAGTTCTTGTTTATCCTTCACAGTAGGATGCTGGCCTTAGCTGCGGTGGCTGCAGCGCAGCTTGGCTATGTTGCCTTTCTGAGCTCCAAGATGCCGTTCATTGAGCAACGATACACAAGCCTCTTGGCAGCACCTGGTATCACTGGGAGCACTTCTGGCTTCAAGGACTGGGAGCACATCTTGCATCCGTATTCTCATTCAAGTAGAAGGCTTCAGCCCTCACATATCAGATACTGTAGTTTTCTTGGTGTGTAGCATGCACAGCCGAGGCATTCATGCTGATAAAGGGTGGCCGGACGGAGATCGTGGGGAGTTCTTCAATTGGATGTCGAGCCTCAGCTAAGGCGTTGTTTCCCTTCATCTCGAGGGCAATCGATAGTGTATATATATATATATCAAATCTGGGGGCGACTGAATGAAACTTGACACCAAATCAGACAATCTCTTCCTCTACGCATAATGTACATATGCCATATGTATTTGTATCTATTACCAGGGCAGCTGGGAAGGCACTGCTTGTCCCAAGAACCTGGTATGCCCCTGGATGCCTCACAGAGCACAGTTGCAACATGTTGCAAATGACAACAATTATCGCTCCAACTTTCAACCTGTTGAGAATCCATAAGCTGTAAATGCTTCCGCTGTGCATCATTGCTGGATACCCTCGCTGTCCTCCAACTCACAATTTGAGGCTGAACATTCCTGAGAAGGAGATAGTGCTGGCAGCCATGCCATTGAGTGCTGAACTGCGCAGGGCTACTCCCTCTTTGCGCATTGCTATCCATCCTCAGTTTGAGGCATTTCACAGCATTAGGATTAGAAAGGGAGAAGTTGCGAATGTCTCCGGTCTCCCTCACGACCTGGACTTCTTTGATTTTTGTGACTGCGAGGCACAGCACCTTCGTGACCGAGTTCAAGAATCTTGCATCAGAATCATTCAGTCAGTATTGGCCGCATTTTGGGCTTCGGTTCCAATTTGCAAATTCTGTTGATCCAGATGTTTTGTGGGGAAGATACGGGAGCCTTCGAGGCATATGATTGATGGATGCCACTGCATTATATCTATATATATATAGTTCCAACCATCCACAGACATAGACATTGTTGAATTGCACATATATAGTTTCCCTGATTGTTAAGACGATGAAGGTGTAGATTTGATGAGGTTGGTCAATGAGCAGAGATGCATTGAGAAAAGATTCCGGTCCAATTGCTGGTCGTGACTCAGGAGCTCTATCAGTTCTACCAGTGCACCTCACCAGAGACTTGGCAGCCAAAAGCGACGGGACAGGATTGTCATGATCCATCATTTTGTCAACCAATGCTGCTAGCTGCTAGTGCTCCAAGTTTAGCATGCTTAGGCAATCTTAGGCATACATGATGAGAGGTGGGCTGGAGCAGGTGCGAATACTTACATATAGTTATATAAGAATATGTATATACTATATACCTAGATGTACACTACACCGTTTTAGTCAAGTGTCTTTCTCCTGCGCCCTCTCACCTCCTTGGACAGACGCAGTTGGCCTAAAGTCAGACTTTCTGCCTGATCGATGATGGGCGATTTTGATGGACTTTAAAGCTCCCAAGGCCAGCTTTGCAAAGACCATGAAGAAGTTCCAGTCTCGCTTTTTGATTCTGGAGTTCAAGCGATGCAGCCGCATTCTGAGCCAACGCCGGAAAGAAGACCACGTGAACTGTGTCAATGAGCACTTGGAATTTGTTCTTGATTTGGATACGAACACTGAAAACATTTTGCTTTCAGAAGGCTGGACAAGGAGGCACGTGATACCACAAAGAATGCACAGGAGGAGGAAACATCCCACAACGAACACTCCTACAGAACCACATACAAACCGATGACAGACCAGGGCTCCGAATCCTGAAAAAGCAAGTGCCCAATGCAGTACACTCTGACTCACTGATATGGTAATGCTAATTATATAGCTCCTTTACACACAGGTCCAGGTGGTATTCCACGTTCATGTTAGTGAGGCGGAGGGTAGTTCATGGCTTGTGCATTCCCCCCATGGCTTTGACAATGGCGCTCCAAGGTTTTGGTCCCTTCCTTCTCGACAGGTACCCAGAGGTCAACTGCAAGGAGTGGCGCTGAGTTGATTGTGAATAGACAATTTGCAGCTCAGCTGTCAGATGACCACTGCAGGAAGGTGAGCACCCGTGGCATTACCTTTTCTGCCCACGGGCTTTGGCTTCACCGCTCTTTGAGCTTCTTTGGGCGAATGCCGAGTTTGCTGTGCTTCGTTTGAGGCATGACGAGGCTTCGGTGCATGGGATGGCAAGACATTTGAATGTTTGAGGAGGCTGCAGAGGCCTCCCTAGAACAAGAAGCGCCTCCAACCAAACGGATATAACATCAGTTTGGTCTCCATGGAAGCCAGTGGTGTTGTACGTGTTGTAACTTGCTTTGAGCGAACTACTTACATCGCGAACTGTGAGCATGATTAGTAGCATGATTGGATTGGATCAAAGCATGCATCAACCTGACAGTTCCACATTTTAGATTCCGTCCCATTCCTGGTTGCAGAGCGGTGGATGTACGTGAAGCCTTCGTGGCGTCAGGAGGTGCCCCAGACAGCCAAATCTGGGAACGTGGAGGACCTCAAGACCTGGGAGCCCATGCTGCAGCGATGCCAAGAAGAGGCCACAGCTCGAAAACTCTCAGAAACAAGGGTCATGAGAATCAACTTAGCAATGTTTGACCTTTTTTCCTGGGAGCGGAGAAAGGTGCTCAGCTAGGAACAAACAGCATTTGCAGTTGGGCCACAGTTGATGAATCGTGTTCCATTTTCATAAAGGCATTCATTCTTTGGTTGAGTGACATCAGTGACACTTGGCAAATACTAAACTAGTTGCTTCTGAAAGGAAGCCCGGAAGCAGCGGATCAGACACAGTACGAAAGAAAACAGCAAACGCACACACACACACTATATATATATATATATTCATACTACTACACGAGCAGCAAGGCAAGAGCAAAAGGGCAACTATAGGTATGACTTGCACTTTTTTGTGCTTTCACTGGTTTCCTTCCTGTTCTGTTGCTTGACCACTTTTTCATGACTGCAATAGCTAGAGCTAGAGTTGGGACGCCACCTGAAGTGTTTAGAAACTAATCCAAAGCAGTAACCAATGGTGATCAAGATGTACCGAGTATGTTGCCAGGAGTAGCTCAGAGTTGCGGTTCAGACCGAGAGAGCAACTTTCCAGGCTGATTATATACTACTGTATATAATTAATGTCAGCGTCGGATTAGTCACCCCCTCCTTGAAGGTCAACAAGGTCAACAATGTTTGAGATTGGATGTGTTGGAGACCAGATCTCCATACTAAAGATGCTGACCTGATGTTGGACGATGGTTGATGGGATTCTGTGTGAACCATGAGACCTGTGTGAGGGGTACCCTTTGTCAGCCAGCTTGAAAACCTTAAGAGTTCGATAGAGTTTTCAAATGCTGTAATGAGGGAACATGAAACAAATGCTAAAGAGGTTGTTAGGGATTGTGGAACAAAGATTGCTTGGGAGGACATTGAAAGTTTAGATTGCAGCTTTAAACAATATACTAATGAACATGTCATATTTTCTGGGGACAGATGGGCGTGATTAAATAGGGGGAGGTTTCTGCCAAGGACGGTTTTTATTAGGGTGAGGACAAGGTGGAAATTACTTTTTTTTTAAATAGTTATAGTTATAGTTAGTTTATTGTTGGGGGCTCGAGCTGAGCTGGGCTTGACTCATATTTAATCTTAGGTGCGCATTACTATATAAGGCTTTTTGCCCAAGAACATAGGGTTCCTGAAGAGAAGCACCATGCAGGAGCGTCGTGAGTGCTCCGCGCGGGTGGCTGATTTGGCACTGGCTTTCCGGAAGATGGGGCAGTCCCAGGCAAGGGCTGATGGACACAACAATAACAGAAGTGGCTTTGTTGCTTTTCCTTTTCCTTTCGCGTGTTGTTGTTGCTTTGGAGGTGTCAGGTATTGTCGATATGGGTTTTGAAGAGAGCCAATGACCACGACATCCTGTGCTTTACACAGGTACAAGCGATCAATCTCATCAACAATCAGCCCCCACTGATCTTGCCTTCCCCTGGTAAGGTCAGCAAGATGCTCCTCCGCTGGGCTGAAACGTGACTTGATTGTCGTAATGTGCGGCATTGGTGTCTTAGAGCAGGGTCTCCCTCTAAGACTGCATATAATCTTTGTTGGGATTACGTAGCCATGGATTTTGCTACAGGAAGGCTTAACTCTTTTTCCTGTCTATTGCAATGCTGAGACAAGCTTCAAGAAAGAGCCGTTTTCCTGGCTTGCGTTTCTGACGGGCAGGATCGTTCTGGAAAGTATTCAGCCTTGTCTGAGTGAACAACCGACAGATTTGGGTAAGGCACGGAGATGAGGATGGTGCTTTCCAGTATATCATGGGGCATCGTGGCTCAGATTTGAGTTTGCTGCTTGCTAGGACCCAAATGTGCCCAAATTCCAGGGATGAGGATTCTGTGGGGTGGATGTTTTCGATTTGCAACGGGTATGATTCCAGCTGATTCGCCATGTGCACAAGAAATCAGGCATCACTTGGACTACGATTTACAGCAAAGCGAAAAAGCTGGGGCCTACTACCGAAAGGCCGTGGAGCTTGAGCCCAACAATCCGGTCTTTGTGATACTTGGGCAATGCTTGTGCTTGAGTTTTGATTTCGTTTGGGTGTTGTTCCTTCTCACATTGACCTTTGCACTTCACACTGCGCCAAAGGAAGGAGTATTTGATGTGGCTGGAAATTGTTGCCAAGGACTTGAGCATGGATAATTTGGATCCCGGATGTTGAAAAAAAGAACTAAAAGAGAGAACAAGAAATGATCAGCTGGCATTTTTTGCAACATGTTCCTCACGCAGGATCAGCGCAGCTTGGTCCGACTGCTGGGCCCACGGCGGACGGCCACTGGAGCCAAGCTGGCTTTGACGGACTTGGGGGATGCAGCCTTGGCCTGTGAGGCGAAGAGACAAGAGATCAAAAGAGAGATCCCTCTAAAAGAAGCCTTACAGTATTTGTTAAACAGTATTAAATATCTGAAATTCTTGTTGGTGACTGACATGGCATGTCCACATGCAAGTCGGGCGAACGTAGATGACCCACCGGTGTAAGTCTATATAACATTAAAAAACATCCATGTGTTGTGTTAGTGTGGCTGCATCCAATAGTTACTGTAGTTTGTGTCCTTGAGATTTGGAGCTATGAAGCACTGCGGAAACAAGCCTGGGAAGTCCTGGGCAATGTTGGACGCTTTGAGTCACTGTTAGGCCCCAAAACCGCATACTCTCCAAACATCGGTGCTTTCCTTAATGTCCTAATTCCCCAGGAGGTCCGTTTCAAATGCGTAATGTTTGTGAGAAGTTGCTTTTGGGACCCGTGTTCTTGGTAAATTTCACGGGAGTGTTGCAAGGCCTTGGCCTCCTTGACCTTCTTGGCCCTTGCTTACAGGTTGTCTTGGGAGTTGCGTCATTTCAAACTACTTGATCCAATTTTTTGAAGCCATATGAAGCTGAAGCCCTGAAATGTCCGGCGTACTATCGTTTACTATCGATGATGTCGGATGGCTAGGCCTCGGTGACGGCCAAAGAGCTCTTCCGAGACCCTGTGCCTTGGACGGACGGTGGCCAAGGGCAGCTTTGCCAACTCGTCCAGTTGGAAAAGTTCGAAGTTGCATGAGGTTTCTGAAAGAGCGGACCTAATTGTGTAGTATCGACGAAAAAAATCAAAACATGAATGTTTACCGAAGACTTTGAGGACTGGTCGCAGGAGCTTTGGGAGTATGCATTGGAGAATGGGAAGTGCACCTTGGCAGTGGTGTGATGCCAGGAACCACCAGCCTCCAAAGTCATACAACAGCGCCTCCCCTCACACAGAGCTTGGTAAGTCTTGGATATGCTGGTTAGTGTCAGTTGTTTCCTGACATCGCTCACAGCGTTCAAACCGATGAGCAGATTTGGTAGCATGGATCCCAAAAAAGTAAATTGCAGATCCAAGGCAACCAATGTGTGGACAACAACTGGGCTTTGTACTCACCCAACGAGAAGTCCATGCGCCAAGATGTGGGCCACTTGATGGAATTCTGAGACGACCAGCTGGGACAAGTACCGAAACAAATCGGATGAGTTTCTAGGTCGTTCTTCTCACAAAATACTCCCTCGAACCAACCTAATCGCGATGGCCTCCAACCCACTCGCTATGGCCTCCAATCTAGAAGGAATGGCCTCCAACCCAATAGTCACTTGATGGCTGGATAGCGGCAAGTGATGACAAAGCATTCACAAAGGCACAGAAGAGACGTAACACTGGGGAGGATACAGCAAGCACCTGGGTCCATCACTTCCTGCCTGGAGACCCGTGGGGACGAATCTATTGATGTTGCAGTTGGCCTTCATATTGCATGTTTCACCAGGCCGACTGCCCATGCCAATATTAAGAGTCCAGTGGGTCGAGCTTAGTGTGGCAATAAGACAAACAGCAGCTTCAGCACTGTTGGTGAGAAATTTGCTTCCAAACAATGTGACTCTGGGATGCTATGCCTCCATCCATTGGTTGGGTGATCCATGGAACCATAGCCTGTGTCACACCCGTTGGGACATGCTTGAGGAGACTGGCAGCTATTCCTGAACGTCTTCTGGCATCGCTCCATGCGGAGCTCCATGCTCTCCATCGCAGGCGGCAGTGCATCATGCGTGAGCTATCCTGCGTCCATATGTGTTGTAGCTTAAGTAGCTAATAACAGCTAGTAGCTTACTCCCTTGCTGGCGCCTACATAATCAAGGGAGTGGTATTTTGGATTTGTTTAAATTCTTCTCACTGCTTCTCTGCTGTTCTGTGCGGGCATCAGGATCAAAAACAGAACAGGATCAACACAAAAAATAGCATCAATTAAAGAAACAAAAGACACGAAGCAGCCCAGCGCTGTCTATACTTGATTTGCATTGCGGGGTAGGCACTGCGTCCTCCCCCGCACCCCCTCCCGCTTTTCAACAGTTACCACTACCCCTGCTATTGCCAGCACCTCCATCATTCCGACCACCCCACTACCAACTACTATCTTCTTCCTTCGCTTAGTAGAAGCGCTGTGCCCTAGACGACGACGACTACTACTAGTACTACTAGTACTAGTACTAGCACTACTACTACTACTTTTACTGCTACTACTAATACAACGACGACTACTACTATTACCACTACCTAGTTGCCACTCTGTTACATTTGCACAACCCCACAACGGTGGATGCCAGGGGCCACCAGGCAATTGCCACTGATGCCGACCAGCTACCAATGACATCTTTCCACAAGCTGACAAGAGTGAATGCTACTAACCACTAGTATAATCCGTGCATCCCCGCCTACAATGTGGACACACCCTGGACGATGCCAGGTCAAGGCAGCATTCTTTTTGTGGGCCACCCGAGGGCACAATGTAGAGTAAGAAGGAGCCATTGCACCGTATCATTCCTTTTGTGGACCATCTGAGGGAAAGATTTGGAGTAGGAAGAAACCATTGCAACGTAGCATCCCTTTTGTGGGCAACTCGAGGGTAAAATTTAGACACTCCTTGTGTGGGCAACCCGGGGGTACAATTTAGAGAGTAGAAAGATGCTAGTCAAAGGCCGCATCCCTTTTGTGGGCCACCCGAAGATAAAATTTAGAGTACGAAGAAGCCATTGCAACGCAGCATCCCTTTTGTGGGCCACCGGAAGTAGCAAGAAACAATTGCAACGTAGCATCCCCTTTGTCGGCAACCCCACCACATGAGATGCTAAGGGCCACCCAGCTTCTGAACTCCCCTCTCAGAAATGATGTGGATGCTAAGACCAGGGCCTTATAGGTTTACTTAGTGCAAGACATGAACAATCACGTTTTTCAGAGTAAGTCGGCTTACAAAACCCTTCGCCCGCCTTTTTTAACTTCCCAGAGTGCTGCGCCTGCCACCAGTGGAGTACGGGAATTAAACAACCGCAGACAAGCAAGAAAACATCAAAATTAATTCCGGTACCATAATTAATTAAGTAGGTGCGGTCTCAATTGAAAAACAAATTGAAATATAGATGTCAAGACTGACAAGCCTTGAATTTCTGGAATGCACCACCTTCTGCTGGGAGCCGCTTGAAGGTAATGCCGGAAGGCATGGCCATCAAAAGCGACGCAGTGCAGCTCTGAAGCGCTACAAGAGGATGCATTCGTTGAAGACCGGAGGCGCCGGAGGAGTGGATTAAAAGGAGAAAAATCGCGTGACAGAGCTTGGTGATGTGTGATAATCCCACCGCCTTCCTGAGCAAGTGTAGCGACATGTATATAGATATTTATAAATATATATATATATCATCATTTTGTAGCCTTTGCCTGCAGGACGCTTGTATGAGGTGAGGGGGCTAGAAGAGGAACAACCGTTGTGCGGGTGTTCATTCCTATCACAGACCGATGTTGAATCCTTAAAGATCTTGGTCAGTTGCTTCTTGTGTTCCCAGCTTTTGCGCACAATAAACTTTCTAGCAACACGTTTGAGAAGACATTCTAAGCTCCATGAAGAATCAGCCAGACAGAAACGTAGCATAGTACGACAAACAGAATCCGTAGAGAACCGAGAAGGGGTGCTGTTTCTGTTTAAAGGGATTTAAGCGTCCGCATGACCGGTCCTGTTGCTAACACTGCAGAACAAATGGCTGAAGCCATGGACACTGTTGCCGCCTTTCCTGATGCCTGGGATGCCAAGGGAAAAGGGGTCAAAGGAGGCAAAGGCAAGCGTCAACAGCATGGTGATCAGGGTCGCAAGGGCAAAGGCGGCAAAGGCGGCGGCAAAGGAGGAAAAGGGGGCAAGAATGGAGGAAAGGACCTGGGCTCCAAGCGGAGCTGTTATGATACTGGTGCCATTGTTGTGTGTGGTGTTCGTGCGTGTGACCCTGTCTAGGGTCTAATTGTGTGCGAATCAGGTGTCAAGTTTTCCAAGTGTTCATCCGTTTCCTTGGTGTTGAAGCACTTTCTTCTTGCTTTTCGGTGTCGGGCGCTGCTGCATTAGGAGGAGCTCCCCACTGAGCGGAAGGACGAACTGGAAGCCCAGCTCATCGCGCTAAGCCGTGGCACGGAGAGCTCCGCGACTCCTCGGGTGGGCGACCTGGTAGAAGTGAAGGTCTTGGGCTCCGATCCGCAGGAACTACAAGGATACTTGGCCAGAAAAGACGTGACAAAGCACCTCCAACCCACTAGCTTCTTGCTACTAGTAGCGATGCCAGGAGCTACTAGTAGCGTCCTTGCTCCTAGTAGCGATGCTCTTTGTTACTAGTAGCTTCACTATACCAAGCGCATCCTAGCGCCTTTTTGTAATTCTCAGGATGACCCACCAGAGTTGAGAACACCGTTTTTGGATTCCATGACATCACAACAGGTGGTGGTAGCTATATAAGCCCGACCGAGCCCGGTATCAAGAACCATTCAGACACTACAATTTACACCACTGCACCACATCAACGATCCTCAACTAGCCTCTCAACAAGTCTTTTGCTCAGGCCAGATGGGCCCGGTTTTGGGCATTGCCTCTCTGCCGAGCCTGGCCACCCCAGCCATCACCGTGCGCCTGCCTTCGGGCGAGACCTCAGTGAGCGCCAGTGAGCTGCGGATCGTGGAGGCGCAGCGACCGCTGCCAGAGGGCTCCCTGAGCTTTCCCAAGAGCCTTACTGGAGCCTCAGCGTAACATGGAAAGAAGCCAGAGTTCCATTTGAGTCCTGTACTGATGATCAATCATACTGAGTAGACCCGAGCGTTTGGCAAATTGTCTCAATTGGCCCAAGTTTGCAGATACGAACCATTTACCAACCGAAACGAAAGTTACTGTGCTCTTCCAGGACTGCAGTGTGGGAAGTAGGCAACAGTTAGGTTAGGAGTTTTAGCCCGCTGCAGCTTTGAGGCATGGAGCGAAAGTTTGTGCACTCAGTTTGTGAACGCCTGGGTTTCTCGATGCAAAGAACTTGCCATTTCTGTTCCAAATGAAGGCCCGGCCCACCCAATAAATACTGTATACCTGCCTACCATCAGCAATGCAATCCGATCCGAGTGAACCTTCTCTGAGGCTTGATCTCACAAAGCTTTGGCAAAGGTGATGATCGATACATCACGGCCTTCCGACCCGCAGAAGGTTCTGGGAGCTCTGGTTGTGAACCTTCAGCACCATCACCCTGCTCACCCAGCACAACAGCAACTTGGCTGGCGCTCAGCAGACTGTGCATAAATTATGTCAGAATATTTGCAGTTTCTTGTTGCTCTTGCTCAAGGTAATTATGCCTCCCAAAAAGGTTCTTATTTTGTTCTAGCACAGGAATGCTTAGGTTGTTTGGTGTTTATCCGGGCTTGCATAAAATGGAGGGGGCTGTATATTTTCCTATTTTTCACAGCTAGTGTACATACATAACCCCTACCATACGTGGCTTTGGCTCAAGGAAAAAGGTGTACGTTTTAGGCTGTTTCCTATTTGAAATAGGTTATCAGCCGTAGGTCTCACCAAGTCTTCTCGCTCGTACCACGTGCCCCCAGCCATGGCAGGTTACCCGTCGATCATTGACTTGGCGACGGATTTGGACGATATGTCCGCACGTGATGCAACGCCTGAGGTTGCAAGTTCCACGGCGCTCGTGCCGGAAGGGTTTGGGTTTTTGGACACGCCGTTAGGGCCTGACATTGCCCGTTATGACCCTCCCTCCATGAGTGCCAGCGGGAACGCTGTGCCGGTTCACATGAGTAATACTAATGTGTTGAATCAGCACTTGCATGTTCACCAAGCCCCATCAACTGATGCAAGATTGATCGAGGCTGTTGCCGAAGAAAGACACCGGCATGCCATGGACATCCAAGGTGAACAGCTCAACATCGTGAGCGCCCAGCGTGACGAGATGCGTATGCAGGGGTTGGGAAGCAACCGCTTTTGTTGAAGCTGCCCAGAGAGGTTACGAGGCTTATGCCGAGGCTTCCGCGGCCGAGTTGAGGTCTATGAAACAACACCATGAAAGTCAGATGTTGGATGCACGTATTCGTAGTGATCATGCCATTGAGAAGTGCATGGCAACCATCGATTCATTGAATAATCATGTTGAGCGCCAGAATCGGCAAACAGAAAGTCTTCAATTGGAGTTGAGACAATCCATGAAGAAACAAACTGATCTCCAAAGCCAATTGAGTGCTCTTCGAGATGCCAGATTCCAGAACGACCTGTTCAGTTCTTGGTCCGCCGTTCGCGCACCGGAAGGTCCAGCCGTTTTGGGTCCGAGGGGTCTCCCAATGATTCCTGCAGGGGGCAACGATGAATTACAGACCCGAGATTACTCTCCATCCATCCCCAACCCGACTACGCTTAGGCAAACCGTCAAACAAGAACCAAAGGGCACTACGATTCCGAAGAATGAACCTACTGAGGAATCCCTTTTTGGTTCACCATTGAACTCCATGAGGTCAGGCGAAGGTGTGATTCCACCACTGCCACTGGGAACCAGTGATCAGACCGGTAAGGCTCCGAATGGAGCACCCGGAGGCGATCCCCCACCACCTCAGCCAGAAGGTGGTAATGGTCCTCCAAAAGGAGATGAAGCCAAGGGGAACCTTCGGCCGAATCCGAAGAAAGCAAATGTTGGTGGAGGAGGCCCGCCTGACGAACCTGGGGACGATGACGACGGGGACGGGGATGATGATGACGACGACGACGATGATCACGATGATGGAAATCTCTCAGGCCGTGATTTGTTGAATGCCCTCAAGCAACTACTCAAGGGGAAAAAGAAAAACTCCGAGAATAATGCCAAGGAAGCAGACCATATTAAGGTTCCTCCATTTCCATACCCCGAGAGCTACAGAGACTGGAAGATCAAAGTCCGGGATGCCGTTCGTGCCGCATCAAAGACACCTGACAAAGCTTTCGTGTGGATTAACAAGGTGTGGAAGGAAGGGACCGTGACTGCGGATTTGGTTGACCCGGAGGGTTTCACGACCCTTGATGCCAAATTGTTGTCAGCACTGTCCAACATCTGTTCAGGTGAGTTTGCTAGGAAGGTCAATACCTTCAAAGAGAAAGAATCAGCCGCCGACCGCCCTGTGAGAGGACGTCAAGTTCTTTTGATGATGGATGAATTTTTCAGCACGAATATCAAACATGGAGCCACGTACTCATTGAAAGATTTGTTCGCTGTGAAGCTCAAGGGTGAAAACCTCAGAACCTTCATTTCGAACTGGGATACTGTGAATGCCGGCATCACTCACCCGCCGGATCCATCAGTGTTGGAAACCCTGTTCTACGAACAAGTCAAGAACGTACGGGCCATACAACATGATATCGAAATCTACAACCGTGCTGAAGAAGGAACTGATAATCATTCCTACAAATACCTTGTTGATGCTGTACAGAGATATCTCCGGAGGGAAAGGCTTGAGTCGAACCGTGACCGGATCCACAACAGCCTTAGAGGTCCGAAACCGTCCACTCCCGCAGTCGACGACGATCGGAAGAAGACTCCGTTCATCCCAAAGGGTTACTGTGTCGCATGGAACAAGGGCAGTTGCACCAAAGAAAATTGCACGTACAAGCATGAGACTCCTCCAAAGAAGACTCGAAAACCAAGTAGAGGTCGATCCACCAGCCGTGAGGGCAAAGACAAGTCCAAGATCACATGTAAGTACTGGAAGGCCGGACGTTGCAAACGGGGGAGTGATTGTGAATTCTCCCATGCAGGCAAACAGAAGCCTCGCAAGGCCACTCCTGCCAGATCAGGATCCCGCAGTTCCCGCGGAAGCGATAAGAAGGACAAGCGGAAGAAGGACAAGAGGGGCAAGCGGGACAAGAGCGGTCGCCGATCCGGATCCGATGGTTCCCGGAAGTCGAAGGGTTCCAAGGGTTCTGGTGGTTCAAACCGTTCATCCCCCAGAGTCACGCCTGCCGCAGTTTGTCTGGTTGCATCCATGCTTGCATCGTCCGTTGAAGGACTTGCCACCGGGAACGGTTGGCCGAGCATTGCTTGTCCAGCCAAGATAAGGGTGAAATTCGAGTCTAAACCGACAATCACCGAATATCAAACATCCGGAAGTCTTTTCCCATATGAGGTGGAGAGGAAGAGTCCATCAAAGTTCTATCCAATCGAATTCGCTATGAGTCCAAACCCATCGGCCATCGAAGATTCACTCCTGTCGGCCAAAATGCTTGCCGGAGCAGTGCAGAATGAGCTGCAAGGTTTCGCTGCCAAGTGTCGTTACATGTGCAAGTCCACCATAGGTTGTGACCACTGCATCCCGAAAACACTATATGCCACACCTGCAGCCTCTGAGCAACAGGTGGAGCACTATCTCCTTTCAGGTGAGGACTGGATTGCAGATACCGGAAGCGCACAGGACCTTGCAACCAAGTACGACATTCCGGACCAGTATCAGTTTTTCTCCAACCAACCGATCTCCATTATCACTGCCAATGGAGAGAGTTCGTCATACCTGCAGGGAAAGGTTAGAAACGAGACATTAGGATGCAATTTCACGCCATATTTGCTCGAGTCTACCCCACCTGTCATGTCCGTCGGGGTCAAGTGTATGGACGAAGGTTATGACTTTGTTTGGAGAGCCGGCAAGGAACCATATTTTCAAAAGCCCGATGGTGTTCGAATTAAGTTAACTGTACGAGACTACGTGCCTTATGTTCCATCCAAGATCAAGAAAGCCATGCCTTGTAAGTTGCGTTCACGTCCGGTCATTGATGCTGGGATTCGTGCCGGAGCTTCTTCTTCATCGAATTGTCCGCCTTCTACATCCTCGTCTACTCCAACTCCGCTGGCCCTACCTGCTGAAGTTGCAAAGGGCTCAGATGATGCGGTGGGGGATGATGATGTGAGTAGGGGAGACAAAGAAGAAGCTAGCCGGAAGGCTGAGCCGCCCAGTGCCGCTGACCGGAAGGTCGAGCCGCCAACGGATGATTCTAACCCTAGTGATGATGCCCTGGACGATCAGGTCACATACGTTTACCCCTCTGCACGGAAAGATGCGGAATCGACCATCAACTCCTTCAAACATTTTGTCCTTGACGAAGCAATTGTGAAGATCTTTTACTCTGACAATGCCCCAGAGCTTATCAGTGCTGCGCGCACTCTCCAATGGAGACATATCACTTCGAAGGATTATATTTCCCAGAGCAATGCCGTTGCTGAGCGAACGATTCGATCGATCGTTGAGGGTACCAGGGTGAGTTTATTGCAGTCAGGACTGCATCACCAATACTGGCCCCATGCCGCTAGGCACTGGTGTGTGAGCAACAACGTTGCCCAATTTGATGATGAAGACAAGTCACCATGGGAGCTCCGTTTTGGGGAGAGATTCAAAGGTCCTATTGTCCCGTTCGGTTGCAAGATCGACTATTGGACCGGGCCTAGAAAAAGAGTGAAAGACAACTTGAGGTTTGACCCAACTTCTGCACCAGGCATTTTCATCGGCTATATTTTGCACCCAGGCTGCTTGTTTCGGGACGAGTTTGCAGTAATGTCACTCCCAAACGTCCTGAAAGCTAGTCACGACGAGAAGATCCCGATTCTCAGAGTCAGTCAGATTAGTGTGCCAAAAGCCATCGAATTTCCGATGCAGAAAGACAAAACAATCAGGAGTGAGGGGAGAGTTGAACTTATTGATCAACCCGAACTGCCACCTCTCGAGGATCAAGACGCGAAAGTGAATCAACCAGACTCCTTTCCCGTTGAGAAACTTGAGAGGGACATCAAACCCAACGCCGATGCCATTGGCGGGAAGGCGGTGTGGAATGCTGCTTGGTTGGCTTTCCTCAGGACCAAGAATCCGGACGGATCGGAAAAGCTCGGATGGTTCGGATACGGGGGGTGTCAAGTCAATCTTGAGTTGTTTGCTGGTGAATTATGTGACCCACGTCCAACTCATGACACCAAAGATTATCCTGTTCGTTCCACCGTTATGCAGTCCGGCGATGATTCATGGCATGTCATTGAGGAAAACAAAACCATCCATCCATGGCAGAACGAGTTCAAATCTCCACTTCCTGAATACGGTTACATTGCCTCGATCTTTTCAAAGTCAGACATTGAGCTTCGAGTTCGTGAAGCAGAGAAAGACAAAGTTGTTGATGAAGGTGAGGTTGAAGTCATCGATCCCGCCACAGCCAAAGTTGAGAGAATTAAGGCCAATGATCCTAGGTACTACAGTGCCGACGG